TCTTACAAGGAATCCAGCAATGTCAATTATATTATCCTAACTTTAATCTGAGGTATTATTTAATACTAAATGTTATAAACTCTGGAAGGGAGGATTGGTGGGGGGTGGGGGGAGGGTTGGGACTGACCACGCGGTTGGAAGAGGGGGGGAAGGCAAGGTGGGGTACTTTGATTGACAGATAGTGTCGAAGAATATTTTTTTTATTTATTAACTGAAGATATTTGTTTTAGCTCATAAAATTCATACAAATTATCCGGCCAGAATATAATTTACATTGCTGGAATTCTTACAATTTGCTGATCATTTTGAATATAAACATCATAGATTTTGCATTAGACATACAAATTTTTGATGTAAAGTTTATTCTGAGTAAATATGTTATCTTTTGTGAAAAATATATGACATTTATATTCAAAATATTCCTGGTCTTACAAGGAATCCAGCAATGTCAATTATATTATCCTAACTTTAGTTTAGGGTTATCCACACATCTCCTTGGGGCCCGGTTGGTGGGGGTGGGGGGGAGGACCGACCGTCCATCCTGACCAACCGGCTGTGTAGTGTGAGAGGGAGGAGTTGAGTCCATTATTTGGGAATGGACGTGCTTGGCGACTGTATTTCTCTCTTCTCTTAAAGTAATTGTGTGCATGTACCATCATAAAATTAAGATATTGTTTTACTAACATAGGTATGTGCCTTCAAAAAGTGGAGTTTGGGGTCGGGCGGTTTCTGTGGAATTAATCCCTTATGTTCTGTTGTTCATACTTGCTTGGATTTCACTTAGCAGGACCTCTGAGTTCAATTGACGCGTTAAGTGAGGTACAACTAACCCATATATAATATACTCATTCACACTATTTTATAATTGCAGTCATGTACTGAATATTCTGTAAAAAAAATAAATGTTAAATGAATTATTTATGGTGCATTAGGGTACTGGTCACTTCAGACACAAAGACGGGCTATAAATAGCCTTCTTTGATGATGAAAGATTTTATCAATTATTTGTTTATTTATTTAAAAGTCATTTACTGAATATTCTATGTAAAAAATAAATTTTAAATTAATTATTTATAGGAGATAAGTATTATGATCAGTAAATATATGGTATTACTGGCCACTTCAGACACAAAGACGGGATAAAAATAGCCCATCTCCCCCTCTTACAGCTGCCAATGGGAAGCGTCTTGGTAATTAAATTTGATGTTTATTTTCATTGTTTGTCTAATTTATCATGTATCAAAGTAATATTACTAAAAATTGTGTAGGTAGTAGGCAGCTACCAAACAGGTAGATACTACCACCTGGGAAGATATTGGAAGCATAATGTGTTGTCTAATGGTAGACCCTGCTGCCATATGGCATCACGAAAATTGTGATCAAGTCCCAGGTTCAGCGCTGACCTGACTTTCTGCCTCATTTACACACAATTGCAGTTTCAATTGTTCCTCTAACTTTGACAACACAACATACATACAGTATATTATTTCTCACTTTTGATCTTTTTTTTTACTTTTTGTATTTATTTATGGTTAGTTACTTAAAATAAGGCCAATTCACTTCAAGTAATGGCATCAAATGTTACCAGCTGGTGTAGTGTAAACACTAGTGACGTCACTTAAGCGTCTGTATTTAACTGTCAGTAGTTTCAAGAATTAATGCAGTCATTTACTGAATATTCCTTGTAAAAAAATAAATTTTAAATTAATTATTTATAGGAGAAGTATTATTATCAGTAAATATACCGATATGCATTACTGACCACCTCCACGGCTAAAAATAGCCCAATCTCGCGGTCACTTTTCCTTTCTTGTCTCCTCACTGGCAAATGGGGGGGGCGTGGGGAGGGGTGTGTGATGATAGCTGTGTTTATTACAGGGGTATATTTTTCTTTTACGGTATGTTAGACAGGTTTATAATACATTTTTATTATTTTAATATACCGGTAATCTTAATTTGAATCCAGCTTGCCAAACGTAAGTTTCAGTATAAAATAATTAGTGGTAGGACCTTGTGAGTGGCTTACGATGTTTCCACCACCAGTCTTGACACACTAAACCACAATATTTAAGAGGTAAGAATTTTATATTTGGCGATTAAGACGACCCCTTAACTTTGGGCAGATTTTTTTATGTTCAAATTCCGTCTTATAAGCTGAGATATACGGTATCTGTCAATCAAAGTACCCCAACTTGCCTCCCCCCCTCTTCCAACCGCGCCAGATGGTCGGTCGGTCGATCCCAATTCCTCCCCCCCACCCCCCACCTTCCCTCCCTACCAGAGAAATGTTGGGTGAAAAAACTAGATTTTAACTTTTAGTAATAAATAATACCTCAGACTAAACTTAGGATAATATAATTGACATTTCTGGATTCCTTGCAGGTCAGGAAATATTTTGAATGTAAACGTCATATATTTTGCACTAAAGATAAAATACTTGCTTTGTGTAAACCAAATTATTACATTGGATCTAAAATTTGTATGTCTAATGCAAAATCCA